TGATTGAAAGTGTTTGGTAAAATTAGCTTTTTGATAAGTTGATAAATGTAAAAAGACTAAAAAGGATACCTTCATAAAATTTAAATTAGTTTGTTTACATATTAAAATTTAACATTTCGTCTTCCAAAAAAAGTAAACACTTTTTAAAATAAAACTATTAGCATGATCATGATCTAGCATCCCATAATGAAATAGCAATATTGTTGTGAATCTCCTTCATCTGCATAGAGGTGTGACTTAAATTTTCGTTGATGGAGATATTACTACTTGAATCTTGAAGTTCATCGGGCGGTATGTAATCTGGATGCTGCTCAAGCACATTAAACATCATGTCATCTTGTGAATTCTTCCGAATATAATTATGTAGTGCAAATGTGGCCATAATAACATCAATTTGGGTCTCCTCACTAAACTGCGGCATTTTAGCAAGTATCTTCAATCTCTTATTCAATACTCCAAATGATCTCGCACAACTTCGAAGAAAAGAGTGTGCACGATTGAATGCTTCTTGAGCATTAGTTGGCGGCTCTTGTTCAAATTGAGATTGAAGCCATATTGCTAATTTAAAAATAACAACAACAACAATAATAATAATAATAATAATAATAATAATAATAATAATAATAATAATAATAATAATAATAATAATAATAAGCTAAAGTTTCAACATAATTGTTTAGCCGGAAACAAGACTAAGGAAGGGATTTACGTGAAAGTTGGGATAGGGAAAGAGAAAGGGTTTTAATTCATAAGGTTAAAATATGTCATTACTTTAAAATAATAAGGGTAAAGATGAAAAAAAAAAAAAGTTAGGAAGCTAGTAGCTTATTTTGAAACGCTACCTAAAGTAGCGTTCCAAAATAAGCTCTTATTTTAAGCTAGGAGCTTATTTTGGGAACATTAGCAAACAGAGCTTATAGCTTATTAGTAGCTTAAAATAAGCTACAAGCTCCTAGTTTAGCGTTGCCAAACAGAGCCTGGTTTACGTTGATGACATCATTATGATGGGCAGCGACGCCGGCTTAGTCAGTCATTTACTAAGTCGCTTAGCTTCAACCTTCAAGATTCGGGATCTGGGTAAACCGGGGTTTTTTTTGGTATCGAGGCAATTGACACTGGTGATGGAATGGTTCTCTCTCAGCGCCGTTATATGACAGATCTATTGAACAGGTCTGAGATGGTGGACTGCAAACCACTTACTACACCGGCATCCGTTTCTCAACCAGTTACTCCGTCAGAACAGTTGTATGAGAATGCGTCCAATCTTGTTGTGTTAATTTATTAGGTAATTATCATTTTGATATGTTTATTTTGGTCTTGTTTGGCAATCAATACATAGCGGTTAGCGGATAACATATTGTATTAACGGTTAACGAATAGCAAATTGTAAAAAGATATATGGTAACATTAGTTGTTAACATGTAAAATAACCATAATAATAATAATAATCTTAACTATAATATAGACATATGGTTTGGTGAGCAATTATTGTTACAATTATTATTTTGGTGAGCAATTATTTTGCTACAATTATTATCTATATCCTTATTATTATTGTATTCTTTAATTTTTGGATCTTCTATATTATTACTAGCATTTTGTACGCGCGATGCGCGAAAATTTATGCCCAATATTAAAATATTTGTAAGTAACAAAATTTTAAAAATTAGTTAAAATTATGTTTTGCCCAATATATTTGAATAATATAGTGATCAAAACAAAAAAAAAAATTTATATTTTTATATAATAATAATTTACAAATAATACTAAGCTAACATACACCCACATATATGATATATTGATATGGATACACAAATAATATACATACATATTATATATATACATACATATTATATATATATATATATATATATATATATATATATATATATATATATATATATAAAATTTAACATTCATATAAATATTTAATTAAAATATAATTTATAATTAAATTAATTATTATATGGTAATTTTAATAAAATAATAATTAAAAATAGGAAAAAGATATGATAGATGTAGGCGTATGGTAAGATTGGTAGATATATTAAAAACTAACGGTGTTATAACGGTATAAGGGTGATTTTGTCCAATGCAAATGAATGTACAACAATTAAAGCAAAATGTATATATTTATTAGCATATAAAAAAGGGACAAAAATCAAGGACATAACTTGTATTGACACTTATTATGTTTTTAGATTTAGAAAATAGTGATGATGATTAATAGTCATTTATATTTATAAATAATTGTTTGGTCTTTAAAGGTCAATTGTATGTTGTTACATCTAGAGTTAGAAATCTCAAAGGTCTAAAAATTTTGATCCGTGGTGACTCTGAAAATTGTAATTCAATTACTATTGTAGTTTACTAATTAAGTTTTTAAAAATTTGTATTATTAAATACTATGTACTAAATTTTTAATATAGTTTAAGATTTATAGTAATCACTCACCTTAAATATCAATTCTTATTTTAATTATAAATGTATTTATGTTCATAATTTTATCATAGCAATTCACACATAATAATTATTAAATAACAAAATTTTTATATATGAATAAACCTCATATAAGGTATATTTTTATAACATATTTCTCGTGCATCGCACGGGACAAATATAATAATAATAATAATAATAATAATAATAATAATAATTATTATTATTATTATTATTATTATTATTATTATTATTATAGATAAATGGAATTATTAATAATAATAATAATAATTATTATTATTATTATTATTATAAAATGAATTAATAATAATCTTATTATTATTATTATTAAAAGAAATTAGAAAGGAAAAACAAAAACAAAAAAAAAAAAAAAAAAAAAAAACCAAAAAAAAAACCAAAAAAAAACCAAAAAAAAAAAAAAAAAAACAAAAACAAAAACAAAAAAAGGCGGGGGAACATAAGGGGTCCCCCTTAATTTAGCCTCAAGGCTCCTTGTATTTTGCTAACCTGCTCGGCAGGCAAGCAAGCTTGAGAAGGTTAAAAGGCTTCTCATTAAACATGCCATAAAGGTATCATTAATAATTACAATCCAAGTTTTTTTTTTTTTTTTTTTAATAATAATAAGAGTGTTTTGGAAAAAGAAGTGAAACGTTTATAATTTTAGGGTGTGTTTGGAAACCTGGAAAATGAGTTCTGGAAATCATTTTCCAAGTTTTCAGTGTTTGGATGTGCCTGGAAAATCAAGTCAACGGAAATCATTTTCCGTTGACTTTGGAAAATAGGCTTGTTTTGGAGGAAAATGACTTCCCTTTTTTTGGGGGGAAGTCATTTTCCAACTTTTACACCAACATCACACCACCACCAACATCATCAACACCATACCACTACCACCATCACCACCACTACTGCCGCCGCCACCACCACTATACCACCGCAACCACCGCCACCACACCACCACCACTACCACCACCAACACCATACCACCGCAACCACTACCACCACCAACACCATACCACCGCAACCACTACCACCACCAACACCATACCACCGCTGCCGCCACCACCACCATACCACCGCTGCCGCCACCACCACCATACCACCGCAACCACCACCACCACCATACCACCGCAACCACTGTCGCCGCCACCACCACCACTACCACCACCGTCGCCGCCGCCACCATACCACCGCAACCATCGTCACCGCCACCACCACCACCATACCGCCGCCGCCGCCACCACCACCATACCACCGTAACCACCGTCGCCGCCACCACCATCACCATACCACCGTTGCCGCCACTACCACCATACCACCGCAACCACCACCACCATCACACCACCGCCGCCACCACCACGACCATACCACCACCACCATACCACCGCAACCACCGTCGCCGCCACCACCACCACCACCATACCATTACAACCATCGCCACCACACTACCACCACTGCCACCACTGTCATACCACTACCAGTTATTATTATTATTATTATTATTATTATTATTATTATTATTATTATTATTATTATTATTATTATTATATATAACAAATAACACCACTACCACTACACCACCACCACCACCATCATAATATTTTTGATATATTATTAGTTATTATTTTATTATATTTAAAATTATTATTATATTATTATATATTATTATACATGTTGTAATATTCTAAATAAAATAATTAAAATGTTTAATTATACAATTCTACTCATTTTCCAGAAAATGAACCAAACACACAAAAACAGTTTTCCAGAATGCAACCAAACATTGGAAAGGAAAATATTTTCCGGAAAATGACTCATTTTCCAGAAAACATTTTCCAGAAGTCATTTTCCAGCTTTCCAAACGGACCCTTAGTGGATTGGAGAAAACCATTACTCCCGATGTTGGATTACCAAACAACATTAATGATGTTTTGACTAAGTTAAAACGTTATTAATAGCAGATTTCATATTTACCAAACAAGTCCTTTATAAGTTATACCTTATTATAAATTATTTTTCAAAATTATAAATGTGTATTTTTTTTCCCTAAATTTGAAGTGTGATATTTATTTTTTTAAAATACAAATTATAAACAAATCGATTGAGTCAAAGGAAAAAATTTTTATTTATTTTAGAATGAATTGAAAACTCTAACGTTATATTATAAACCTTAATTGGTCATTATATTTGTCCCCACCATTTTAAACAACTGTTTCTTTTCACCCTTCAATCAAATATCTCCCAATTGAACTTCATAAAACCTTAAACAGAGTGATGATGAAAAACTAACAATAGAAAATTTTTGTAACTTCATAAAACCTTAAACGATTCTTGTATTTAGATAGCCATAAGTGATCATTTTTAACACAATGTACTTCCCATGTGGTTTGGGTCACACTCTATTTCCAATTAATTGCCATAATTTACTAAAAATTTGTATGACGTTACTCATTATATAGTGTTTAAAAATATAAATATAAAATTCAACCAATTTATGACTAATAACATATAAAGTATAATAAACTATAAAAGTCGACCATAGAAGCATGTAATTAAGTTCCCTAATAAAACAAAATTGGCAGTAGCAGCAAAGCAAGACGACCGCACACCGTCGCCACAACCATCGGCGGCCCATTGTTGCTGTTAGCCTCTGGAGGTAAGGCTACCGGAGGGGGAGAACCAGGCGAGGTGTGTTTGGGAGACAAAACCACGACCGCAAGCTTCTGTCCATTCTCGCAGTGGTCATCCTGTCCGCTGATGAAGAAAATCGCCCCCGACCGTTCCAACACAACCTCGGTGTTCCCGTTGCTGTTGTAGGATTTGATAGGGTTTTTTGTGTTGCAGTTTTTGTAGTCATCCTCATTCACTTCTAGCACCGAGTCATTATTGCATGGATACTTGAAAACTACACACATTACATCATAAGTTTGTCGAGAAAAATAAATAATTGTCAAATATTTTATTCTTTTATCGAGAAAATTGATAATTTATCAAATATTGTATCCAGTATTAAATATAATTATTGGTACAATAGAGTGTCAACCATCTTAGAACATCCTCATTTGTTTGGTTTTTAGATTGTTTTTTGTCACCTCCATGTAGGAAATGAAATGTTTGGTTTTTAGATTGTTTTTTGTCACCTCCATGTAGGAAATGAAAGGGAGAGGAGGAGAAATAAAAGGGGAAAAACAAGAAGAAGAAAAAAAAGATTAACAAAAAAAAAAAAAATACTATTCTATTATTCATGCGCCTAGGCACAACAATTGCACCCAACGCAGGGCATCACTTTTTCCAGCTTCTTCTCAATCAATGGGACCACTAAAAACCAACCATTATATGAATTTAAAAAAAAAAAAAAAAAAAAAAAAAAAAAAAAAAAAAAAAGCCACCTTCAACCCCCCTTAGTTACAATTTACAAACACCATCCCTTAGTTTTTAGGTCCAGAAAAAAAAAAAAAAAAAAAAAAAAAAAAAAAAAAAAAAAACTCTAATAGAGATGTTTTAATAGTACAAGTTGAAGCAATTGATCACATACCAAGAATGTATCCGATCTTGAATCGATTTTCGCCGGCCCAACAATTGTACTCATCAGGAGATGAAGGGATCTTCCACCCTGATTGACCACCAACCACAAACTCCTTTGCCTCACACAAACCTGCAGCACTCAAAAACACAAGCCCTAAAGC